AGGTAACTATTTAATGTCAAGGTTCGTCTGATGACTCACTTGCGCAACTATCCAAAGGTTACTTTTTCTATATCTATATGTTGATATTATTACATGTAACCCCTTACCCATGACAGTAAAATCCTGTTTGGCTTGGTATTCCTAGTTTACAAGCATTTTCAAGTCAATAAGTAGTTATGGTTCTGTGCAACTATACCAATAAAGACAAAATATATTATTTTTACCATCACTAAACACACTTAATATTTACATATCAATTTGTAGTACCTTGTCAAGTAAAGCCACTAAATGATCTGCTAATTTAATTCCTGTATTGGAAAACTTGTAGGAATAATTATTTAAAGGGTGGGAATAGTTATTACAAAAAATGATCTATAAGTTTCCTGAGTGCTACGGAAATACAAGTAAAATTATAAAATGCATTTTTTCAGAAATTCACTCCTTCCATAAAGACAGATATTCCTGTTACACAATTTACAACAGCTACAATATTCATTAATAAAACTTAAGCCCAGTAATTTATAAATTTATTAATAAATCAATGAGTTCTTTCTTTTTATTTCAGAAAACCTATTCCATCAACTGTGAAAGCTGGGGAGTTAGAAAAAATAATAAGTCGCTGTCAGGTGTGCATGAAGAAAAGACACTGAAGAAATCAAAGAAAATAGAACTGCTACTTTCCCCCTTCCTAAATAACAAAGTAATGGCTCAAAACATCCATTTATTTAGGTATTTTCCTCTAACCAAACAATGCTGCTCTATGAAGGATCAGTAGAACAAAGTTTAAATTTGTTTCCCAAACCAACATGGCATTTCTTTCAAGTTAGTTCTCTGATCTTAGTCTCTACATCTGTGCTGTTTCAGAGTTCCTTAGGGCAAGACAATAATCTTTATAAAATATCACTGAAATCATACTCCTCTTGGTTCCAAAGCACTCTCTAAATGGTGACTGTATATAGCTTGAATATGCAAGCTAAGAGGTATCTGGTTCACTGGATTCTTGACATTTGTCCTCTTTGCCTCTGGTCTTAAAGGTTTAGTAAAGCTAAAATGGTCTTATATTGCCCTACTACCTCCTTCCTGAAATTTTAGACCTCAGGTAGAAGAGCTGTGGATATGTAGAACACTGAAGCATCATGAACAGAACTGGACTTTCAGATGGGTTGAATAACATAAGGCCTGAGGAAACACAGAATTGAACTGAGGTTCATGGATCTTCCAGAATCATTCAAACATACCCAAAACTAAGGCCAAAAGTGGGTTCCCTAGGTGGAACCAGAGTAGTCCAGGAAATAATATATGGCTTTGTTTTATATTTCTTTAAAGAGTTTTGTTAGTCTGTTCATTGAATTTATTTCACTGTACCAATATAGCTTGTCTGTACACAAAGGGGATAAATTGTTTACCTTTAGTGAATTAATTGTAATAGGATGTTACTACACACATACTCTGAAATATGTCAGACTTAGCTTTTCTTTTGCAATGTACTCACACACAAGAAAGAAAGAAAAAGAAAGAAAGAAAGAGGGAGACAAGGACACTACTTACTAGATGTGCACTTTATCCTCATCCCTGTCAATGTTGGTGCATACCTAATATAATTGGGTACAGCAGATCAATAAGCCATGGAATAATGTTAGGGATTTGTTGGCAGATCAAGCTGAGAATATTTTTATTTTTGCTCTAAATATTTCATTACTTGATTTTACAGATTTGTTCCTTTTACTACTTTCTAATTTTTCCTGTGTAAAAAATTTTTTCTTTGTGTTGTATATTCTTAAAACCATATTGAGAGAAACCATTGTGTAAAAACCTTCATGTACAAACTGTCTCATTTGGCAACTGTATGTCTTAAAACTTGCTTTTCAGTGTGTTGATACATTCCCAAGGTTACTTAGTTCAATTTAACAAGCATTTTCTTCAACACCAAGCTGATGTCCTGGGGAAGGTGATAAATTAGACACTAAAAGAGAAACAGAGGGAGATAGAAAAGAAACCTGTTCCTAATCTAAAAACTCACTGAGAGATAACTTACTGCTTCTGTTAAGAATCACACTTAGGGCCTGGGGATGGAGTTCAGGGGTACAGTGTGTGCTTAGGGTGCGCAAGACCCTGGCTTCAGTGCCCATCAACAAAACCAAACAAAAACAATGCCATGTTTCTGTCCCCTCCTTTTCTTCCCTTATTATTTTTATATTTCATCATCATAATTCAGCAGTTCATAGTAAGATCTATATCCAGGGAAAGTCCAAGGCCCCTAGCTTCTCTTCGGCACCTCAGGAGCTAAGGTCTGGACAATATTTAGAAAACAAAGATGTACAAAACACTTTTAACTATGTATATGTGACAGTGGCACTATCTGATGGGTCTTAGAGGCTGGACATCATGACATGAAGTTTTCAGGGTGCTTCTTTGTCCACCTGAGGGGGAACTGGTGGTGCTGATAATTACATTCAGGCTCTTGCTCCCATCTCAACTGCTTTGTAAGGGAAAATGGGACCCTGGAACAGCGATGTGGTTTATGTTCTTCACTGCTCACGTAACTGCGGCCAAGCCATTTTTACATCAATATTAAAATGTGCAGCGTTTTATTTATTTAGATCATGTACTTAGATTCGCCTAACAGTAAGCCATTCCTTCCCTAAAGAGATCTATTGTTGTAACTGTATTCTGCTGCGGCAAGAGGACCAGCTGGTCCCCATCAGCATCAGCATCAGCATCCCCGGGGACTTGGTATAAACGCAAATTCTAGGCCCATTCTAGACTGAAAATCAGAAACTCTGTGGGTAGAGGCCACAGATCTGTGCTTTAACGAGGCCTCCGCGAGATTCTGATGCACTCTGAAGACTGCGAAGAGCCGCTCTAGCCAAACACCCAAGAAACGGGCCACAATCACACCATCTTCGCCTCTTTTAAAAAGTCCAAACTCAGATGACCTCAAGGTAATCCACTGTTACTCCTAATGAAGCCTCAGATTGGTGCTGATGCCGAGAACCAGGCCTCTGCTTGTCCCCATGCCTCATCTGTGCTCACCCTCTTATCAGTATTTCACTTCTGAGGAAGACGATTCATGCTAAAACCTTCATGCCAGCGAAGCCATATGAACAACTGTTCAGCACATTCCGAACAGTGAGCATTAAAATACAGCTCATGGGTTGTTTTCCAGATATTTATGAGTAGCTTACGAAGTTTTAAAGGTTTAACTTTATAGGTAAAATGTAAGTAACTTGTTTCTTTTAAAATGGGGGCTTCAGGGCTGGGGATTTAGTTCAGTGGTTCTGGCGCTTGCCTCGAAAGCGTAAGGTCCCAAGTTCAATCTCCAGTACCAAAAAATTAAGTAAATAAAAAAGACTTTTGGGCCGGGGATTTAGCTCAGTGGTTTTTCTGCCTGCTGCACAAGTGCAAGGACCCGAGTTCGATCCCCGGTACCAAAAAAATAAATAAAATGGGGGCTTCAGCCTCGGAATTTCAGTGTGCTAAAACAACCAATTTCTCAGAGTTCTTTGTTTCTGAAATATAAACATTATTAATTTATTTATAAGAGTATTAAAATGTTTAAATTTGAATTTTATTGCTAACTTACAGAGATGTTTCTATATATCAAATGTAACTTACTGCTACTAAACTTAATATTTACTATATAATGAAGATGAAAGATATTTAAAATATATTGAATATTTTATATTGTTACATCCAGACAAAATACAACATATTGTACTGATATTTCTGTAATTATACTTAAAATATTATTGTTTTGTCAAAATAAAATTGAAAAAATGGTAACTCATTTTCATTTTTTTCAAAATAGAAATAAATTTATCTTGGCTTTTAAAAATAATAGATGTTCACCGTGAAAACAATGGACAACACAGAGGTAGTGGAGATGTATACCATTCCAGAATCCTTTTATATAAATATTTTTTAAACAAAATGAGGTAAAACCACACTTTGCTATTAGTTTTTGTTTTTCTGGTTTTCGGGGTTTTTTTAGCTTAATATGTTGTGGACAGATTTTCACATCAGAAGACAAGAACAAACCATCATTTGGATCAGAGTCCATTGTGTGGCTATAGAAAGTCAACGCATCCTGAACTGATGCCCAATTAATTTAGTTTTGTTATTGTCATTTTATAAATATGGTAGTTCACATTTGTTCACATATTCCCTGAGGATAAATCTCATTAAAAAAAAGTTACAGAATTAAAGGATTCAAAATATTAACCCTTTCATACTCTAGTAAGGTCATTAGAATTTTCAGCTGCATTGACAATGTAATATGAATTACTGTTCTTTTGCATTTTTGCCTGCCTCATCATTTTGACCGATGTTTTGCTCATTATCAGTGAGGCTGAACATGTCACTTTAGGATTTTTAAAAATTGTATTATTATGAGTACTTTCTTAAAATTTCATGTGAAGAATCTAATCCTATCTTTGCTTTTCTAATGAAGTGTTCATTTTTCTAATGAAGCCTATGGATTATGGAAATTATGGGCCATATGTTCTGATGTTTCACATTAATGATACCAATGCTCCTCATTCACAGACAATAATTCAAAAAATTTGAAATGTACAGAATTGGTAGAGAATATACAAAATTTGAAATCGCATTGGTAAGGCAAGAGTCTCAGAAAGCTAAACAAGGCTGCTAACCACCAGGAAATCACCCTTCCCTTGGCCCTCACTGGAGGGTTTAAGGACTAATCAAATGTAGGGCGCCTAAAACTCACTCCCAAGTTGGGTTAAGTGGTCTGATTCTTGGGCTTCACATCATAGAAATCTCGATGCAGGTAGTCCAAAAAAAGTTAGGTTAACTGGTTCCCGAAGGTGTGCTTTGCAAACGCGAGGTTATTAAAGATCACTAAAAATTCCTAAGTGGGAACCAAACCTGAGTACCTCCAGCGTTATCCCCCGAGGATGCACTTTGCCCACAACAAAAATGTCTCCCTCACCCTGTCTCACTGGTTCCCCTCTCTGTGCGTGAACCGTAGATCCGCCCTCTCTTCGTCACATGACCACAAACCTATTTCCGCTACGGCTGGTGAGAGGGGACAGTCCCGGACGTTCCGCGTCTGTCCCGGCCCGCTCCGCGGGTGCCTTGCCCGGGTTGCTTACTTGCAGGCACTCGTCCAACGAACGGTCTGTGAGAGTGCCCCGGGAGCCGGCGGGCGGCGGCCCTCTGCGGGACTCTGCGGAGGGCCCAGGGGTGAGTGCCGACTCTTCCCGACCCGACACTGTCTCCGAGGCCAGCCTCCGGGCCCAGCGCCGGGCAGTGACCCCCGCTCCGTCGTCGCGGCTGAGTCCCGATCCCGGGCCTCCCAGTCGGCCGCGGCCTTTCTTGTTCAGGACCTGCCGACCCCTCTGCATCCGGGGAGGAGCGCCTGCCCTGAGAGTGTCTGCGGCCGGCCTCGTGTCCCTTTCTAGTTGGGCAGTGGGTTTTGTGAATAAGTTCGGGCTGTACTGACCGAAAACGAGTTCGGGGCTTGGGCAGCGGGCGGAGAGCCAGTGAGTTTGGCGGGTTGTCTTCCCCTCCTCCTGCCCGGTTGAGGCCCTGACAGCTTACAGCACGACCTTGAACCTGCTGTGTTCAGGAGGAGCCTTTTGTTCAGTTTTGTAGAAGGCAGTGCTGGAAAAGAAAGGCCTGGCGGAAGCTGGGGCATCCGCGGCGGGGATGCGAGCGGGGAAGCCCGGGGTCCCGGTCCCTGGAGGCCCTGACCTTCGTCTGTAGGACGAGCCCCGCCCCGCCCCCCCCCCATGGCAGAGGAAGCCCCAGGTGCGTCCCACCAAGTTGAAACGAGCGGCGTTCTCCAGGCCAGAGCGCCTTTCAGAAGAGCCGGCGTCTTTTATTTGCAGAGGATGAAAAGGGAAAGCTTTGCCAAATATCGAATCCGTTGTTTGCAGGCCTCTCACCGAGAGACTTCGAAGGATCCTGAATGCTTTCTTTCCCTGGGTGAAAAACAGTTGTGTTTGCCTCGATTTCATTCTCGTTGGCTAATGAAATCCCCAAAGAAAAACTCTTGGAGAAATGAGGACGACATCAGTTGTACTTAGTCGGCTTTTCCCGTGCCGTTAAATGATTTGGGGGGCTGCTGTCTTTTTGGTTTCAAAGGCTTGTGAATTGGTGTTGTTATTTTTTCCAAAGGAAATGATGTGTTGTCCCCCTTCCTGTCTGATAGAGCTACCCCATTTTAGGATTACAAAGTTTAGCTGTAGGCGCCTCCCTGCTGGTGTTGAAACTTTTCTGTGGTCAATAGATACTTCTCAAAGTTTTCAGTAACTTTTCTTGAAAGATGAAATTAACCTGGGATCGCTTCAGCCCTGTTTTCCCAACACACCCATTCTTGAAGTACAGTGGCTTAGAAAGGACTGTAACAGAATGACCTAGATAAAAACCTTGAACTACATTCACACAATATGAGAGAATTAGGCTCTTTTGTTGTAATTGGAGAATTAATATAAAATTTTGCTACCACAGTCAATTTGATCCAGATTGTTTTCTGGGACTTTATAGGGCCAGGGCCCATTGTTCTGATGTGGAAAGTTGGACTTGAATCTCCGTGTCCCACAATTGGTGGATTTTCCACCAGTGATGTGTGACTGAACTACAGGTGATATGTGGACGGGGGTTTTTTGTGATAGTCATGTTTTTATTACATATATTTATGTACGCCAAGTCCAGGGTTTAAGGTAGTAATGTAAAATTTCCTTTTAAAATACATTTATTTAAAAAATCAAATTAAAGAAGAAAGAAAGTATAACTTAGAATAAATGTATTGTGAATACAGGGGAAAACCTGAAGTTGGTAAATATTGCAGACATTTGGGGACCACTGAGCTTAGAAGGAGGAAATCTGAAGTTTGCTATGATTCTAAGGAGGAGTTTGTCTTGGTGGTTGTGTAACAGGAATGATCAGGCACAGGTTGCCTTGTAGATGCTAAGCTTCTGCAACTAATATGTTAACTTCAAAAGAGAAGTTGATTTATTGCTAAAAGCTACTATCCAGAGTGCCATAGAACAGTGAGGGATAAAAATAATTAGATTCTGATCTTTTTATTTAAGCAAAAAAAACACAGAAAACCAAAACAAAACCCAATAACTGAAACAGTAGTGTTAAATTTTAATAGAAAAGTTCCATTTGCTTTTTAAGTTTAGATAATTCAACTGCAGGACACTTGGGCCTTTTCTAGAAGTTGTCTTCAGTATGCACCTTTGTATTCTAAGTTCATGATTCTTTGCAAATTCAGAGAATCATAAGAAAAGATGTTGTTATAGAATGAAATGTTGAGACCCTTGGGCTGTGCTAGTGGAAAGTTAGTAAGATGACTAAAATACAGTGCTGAAATGGGAAATTGGCACATTTCAAAGAAATGACGTTCTAGCAATTTATGTCTCTTGCATTATCAAACTTCAGTTTATAATGTCCTAGTGTTTTAATTCTTTTCAGATATTTCTTTTCAGAGTTCTTCTGAATATAAGCTTTTACTATGCTTCAGATATAAACACTATTTGAAAAACATTTCATCTAGAATGATGCACAAAGATAGATAAATGGAAGTTGCCTATGGGGACCTGAGTAATTGATAATAAGAATGATGGGGCACTTCATTTTCTCTATGTTCTTTGTGGTTTGGTTTTCTGAGACACACTCTTGCTATGGCCTTGAACGCACTATGTAGCCCAGAGTGGCTTCCAATTCACAGTGATCCTCCTGCCTCAACCTCCTGAGTGCATGCACCACCGTGCCAGGCCATTTTCTCCATATTCTTATGTACTTTGTATCCCATGAATTTATTACTGGTTCAATTTTAAAAAAAACATTTTAAGTAAATGAAAATGTAATCAATATGTTTATGTCTCTTTTGTAAAAGTATTAGGCTAATTTAAACATTTTTCATCCACCACATTTTTCCATATTCTAATCAGAAACAATGGTAGACATGGTCTTTTATCTTGGCTCCCATAATGAGCAAGGCCCTGTCTATGGGACTGAAGTTGTTGATAAACTTATTTGGTACTCCGGATCATACCTAGGTACACTCTGCCACTGAGCTACATTCCCAGGCTCTCTTATTTATTTTTTTGTTTTGAGACAAGGTCTTGCTAAGTTTCAGGGAGAGACTGTGGTATAAAGTTGTGTATCTTTGTGACTTTTATCATTTGGAGAATTTCCAGCTGAATCTGTAATATTTGTATCCTCTACTTTCTCAATTGTCCCATTTTTCTCTCACAGGGACACCAGTGGCTCCAAGTCCAGCCCATACACAGTGAAGCAAGTTAAGGATTTAATATGAAGCACAGAAACAGATAGTGCCAGTAGCAAGTGGTACTTGGTACACATTTGTGAGTAAAATGTTCTCTTTTGGCTCTGTTTTCTTAGTCTTTAAACCATCTGCATGCCAAATCTTTAAATTTCAGGCATTTTGGTAAAGAATAAAAGAAGCTAGTTAGCAGTCCAGATCAAACCAGTTGTCAAAGCTTAGCTCACTAAGCAAGCTCTAAGAATTCTCCGAAGCATCTCAGGTGGGATGTAAGGTGTGGAGTACATCTTTGACTTGGAGATTAAGAAATAACCCCAGCTGAGATTAAGACATTGATGCTGTCTTTAATTTTTTATTATCTTTAACTTACATATACATATATAATATCTTTTACTGAATAGTTAGTATAATTTGATTTTTTTTTTTTTCTGGTACCAGGGATCGAACGCAGGACCTTGCGCTTGCGAGGCAGGAGACAGAACCACGGAGCTAAATCCCCGGCCATAATTTGATTTTTGATGTTTATTTTCTTTTTAGGAAACCATTACTTACACATTAGTTTTAGGCTACCTCAAATGCATTCATTTTTATCCTTTGCATTCTCTTCATGATTTTGTCATTTGTATTTAGTCTTAAAAAGTAAAGTTTTTTTCCTCCATTCGGAATATGTGATTAGATTGGTTTTATGGCAGTATTAGGTTTTTTTTTTCCTAACTTGACGTCACATTTGTATAAACATTTAATAGAGCTTTTCTTTGTTTGCAAAAAATCATAAAACAGTGACTATTTCTTAAGGGCATGTTTATGATTTTTGAGGTACTATGGAATAACTGTTTAGGAGAGATTTGAAAACTAGTTTCTCAGATCAAGTCCCAAGCCATTTTCAAATGCAAAAGCAATTTTATATAGATACTTACCTTTAATCATAGTTTTCACATGAAATGAATTGTTGAAATACTGATTTTTATTCTTTCTTTCTTACAGCTGGAAAAGCAGTGTCCGTGTTATGTACACCTCCAAAAAAGTTCAGATCTGTAGGGGAATTGTGTAAAGTAAACTGAACTGCAGGGTAGCAGTGTTTTAATAGCTATTGTAGGCGTGTCTTTACTGTATTAAAATGAGTAAAAGAACAAGCAGTGACACACCACTAGGAAGGTCAGTGACATTTTTTTCAGTTGAGCTGGCATTACAGGTTTGAGAGACATTGGCTTGAAAGCTGTTGACGTAGGCCTACCATGCTCCTTCATGCTTTTATTTTGTATTTGGGGGCAGCATTTTTTTTACTGCATTTCCCTGAGATCGTGAATTTCTCTCCAGTTTAGAAGGTTACTCAGTGCATTTATACTGTCTTTATTCCAAAGGCATTTGATGCTTAAAACAGATAGCTATGTAATAAATTAATAATGTAAAACTTTTAACCTTTCAAAGATGCATGTCAAAAATTTATTAATACAAATGATATATTTGATATTCATTGTATCTGTCATCAAATATATGTTCAGTAAGAGGTTTTAATTTATATTTTATGATTTTAAGAGGGTTGCATCTTTTAAAAAAATTTAGAATTAACCATATTTACCTTTTGAGTCTGGTTGTCATCATTTAAAGGCTTTTCATGCATGATGCAATTTTTAATTTCATTTTTATAAAGTCCAAGCAGCTTTCTCTCAAGTAGTAAAGTTTTTTGTTTTCAGTGCTGGGAATCAAACCCAGGTCCTTATGCATGCTGGGTAAGCGCTCTGTCAGTGAGCTAAACCCTCCGGCCCTGATTAAGCATTTTTAATTTAAATTTTATTTCAGGCATTTTTGAGTTATGAGCAGCATGTATATCTGTTTATGCTGAAGAGAGTATGTGTATGTGTGTGTGCACATGTATATTGTAGTTCTACAATAAGTTTTAAACTTGTTTCTAAGCAGTAGTCTCAGCTAATTTCAGCTATTAAGTTAAGAAAGCATTATGTTGGAGAAACCATTTTCTTCAGTCTTTTATTTTTTGGTATGTATTCGAGACTTGCAAATGAGAAGTTTCCTTTTGCTTCTCACTCAGTCATCCTGGTCTTTATGTTTTTCTCCCACAGGGTTAGTGTGGCAGCGTTTCCTTCTCCCACTGCTGCTGAGATGGCAGAAATTAGTCGAATTCAGTATGAAATGGAATACACCGAAGGTATTAGTCAGCAAATGAGGGTCCCAGAAAAATTAAAAGTAGCACCACCAAATGCTGACCTGGAACAAGGATTCCAAGAAGGAGTTCCAAATGCTAGTGTGATAATGCAAGTTCCAGAGAGGATTGTTGTAGCAGGTATTTCACATTTGCTGAAGAATTTGCCTAACACATCTTTATTTTATATATTTTTATAAAACTTGGGGATTTAGAAAATATTATTAGAAAATGGGTTGGGAAATGCAACTTACATTTTCAGAATTTCTATTGATTATAATAGTTGAAATTTTAAGCAGTTAAAAGTAATTCAACAAATTGTTGAAGTTTTACACACATAAAATATACACATTTTAAAGTGCACCTTTTATGAGTTTTGACAAACGTATGCAGTCACGTAATCACCACAGTCAGGATTACAGAACCCTGCCCCAGAAGGTTCCCGTGTGCCTTTACCTATGAGTTCCTACCCTTCAATTCTAGGCAAACATAACCTCCTTTCTATAACCAGAGACTAGATTTGTCTTCCTTGGAACTTTATATAAATGGGAAAGTACAGTGCATCTTGCTTTGTCTGGCTCCTTTTGCTCAGTGTAATGTTTTTAGGGTTCTTCCATATTGTTTTTTATATATATATATATATATATATATATATATATATAAAATCTCAACTACTCATTCCATTTTAGTACTGAGTAATGTCCTACTGGGTGGGTATAGCATTACTGTGTTTATCCATTTACCCGTTGATGGCCATTTGAGTGACTTCCTTTTGGGAGATCTTAGGAATAAAGCTGCTGTGAATATTCATGTACAAGTCTTTATGAGGACTTAGGTCTTCTTTAGAAGTAAAATTACTGGGTTATAAATTTAACTTTTTCAAATAATGGCAGTTTACTTTCCAAATTTTTATACCGTGTTACATTCCCATCAGTGACATATCAGAGTTTCATTTGCCCCACATCTTTGCTAAGTTTGTATTGTCAGTCTCTAATTTAGTTGTTCAAGTGGGCATATAATGGTGTTTCCTTGTGATTTTAATTATATTTCCCTGATAGTTAATCATTTTGCGCATCCATCCATGTGCTTTTGGTCATTTGTATATCTTGGCTATTTGAACTGTCTATTCGGATGTTTGGCCAATTTGAAAAATTGGGTGTTAAATAATAAGTGTGTTTTGTTTTTGTTTTTTTGGTACCGGGGATCGAACTTGGAACCTTGTGCTTGTGAGGCAGGTGGCGACACCACTGAGCTAAATCCCCAGCCCTATAAGTTTTTATATATCTGAATACTGGCTTTGGTTTGGTTTTGTCATGTGTGTATTATATAATTTCTTTTTAATATGTGTACCACAATGTTAAATATTAATGAAATACCAGTTCTTAAGCTGAAAATGTAGTTTTGAGACAGGGTCTCCCTGAGTTGTAAAGTTGCCCAGGCTGAGCTCAAATTTGCAGTCCTTCTGTCTCAGCCTCCCAGAGTGCTGGGATTACAGGCGTGTGCTCCCATGCCCAGCTAAAAAGGTAATTTTAAAGAAGCAAATCCTATTGCATAGGTTATAGTATAAAAGAGAAAGAAGAAAAATACATTTTAACAAAACTTTTTAAAAATATCTCCCTTTTTTGTTGTTGTTGTTGTTGTTGAAATTGTTGTTTGTTTTTCCTTCTAGGAAATAGTGAAGACATTTCATTTTCAAGACCAGCAGATCTTGACCTTATTCAGTCAACTCCTTTAAAGCCTCTGGCACTAAAAACACCACCTCGTGTACTTACGCTAAGTGAAAGACCACTAGATTTTCTGGACTTAGAAAGACCTCCTCCACCCCCTCAAAATGATGAAGTAAGTAGAGTTTTAACGTCTATTAAATTTGAAAGAATATAAACAAGTAAAAAAGGAGTTGAGAGTCAATGAATCATATCACTAGTCGTATGTGTTGGAAGCTTTCTACCTGGAATATTGATTACTATCAATTCTGATTTATAAATTATGTAAATAATTATGCTACTATTTTTATTTATTATGCATCAAATGAAAATTTTGAGGAAAATACTGTCATTTGTGTAAACTTAAAGATATGTATGTATGACTATATTTTAAGTAATGAAGAGAAAATTGTGAAGTCTTTTAAGAGGAGGAAATGAATGCATCGTTTTGTTACAAAGTTAGTCTGTCAAACAGTACCCACTCTTGCTACTAAATGAATTGTTTCTACCCAGTTACTTGGTGAATCACAAGTACCATTAGTACCTGTGTTGTTAGCCATATGGACTAATAAGTTGTTAACTGGTAGAGTTCAAATCTTGCCTCTGCTGGTTACTCAAGAACAGTCTTTAGAAACGTCTTTCTTTTTTTTTGGTACTGGAAATTGAACACAGGACCTTTCATTTCGAAGCAGGTGGTGGCACCACTGAGCCCTACAAGCTTCTTCTTGATGATTTCTGTAATTGGCTATTTTTCATTACACTTCTGAACTTTAACATATTCTCATGAGGGTGGTATAAAACAGTGTGCAAACATGTTTTTTATTAATATTGATTCTCCCTGTGTACCTTTTCATTCTTCACATAGTCCTTTCCAAAGAGGCTTAAGCTCTCATATAAGCTAGGGCAAAGCAACTTTCCAGTTGTAGGTGTTGCTGTTTTTTAGATTCTAAGTTTCTGCTGAAGTAATTGAGGTGTAAAATGCCCGAAAGTGCCAGTTTGAACATTCTAGGTACTTTGCTTAGTGAAAATCACAGAAGTTGAGGGTTTAGCCACTAGACATCAAGATACTTGCAAACTTTTATTTAAACCTTTTTTTTTTTCTTGAGCTCCTGTGAAGACACTGTACGTGGCATAAGGGTGAATGCCCTTAGTTCTCACTCTCAGAAAGTTTATTCTGCCTCACCACAGCAGGACAGAGATGTAAGGGGAAAGCACCAGCTCACAAAGGATGTAGACTTCTTAATAGCACAGTATAACGAAAGCCGTGAAAATGGCTGTATAGAACACAGGGTGCCCAGCATTCTCCCAGCTAGAAGTCTGGCTTCCCAGCTCTCCAGAGTAAGGCTTCTGCCAGGAGAGAGATGCTTTCTTGGCTGTTTATTGGGTTTTTTTCTTTTGATCTTTCTGCTCCCCCTACCTGTTTTAGACATTTGCCTACCCAGTGCAAATGACTGATTAAAAGCAATCTAAGCACTTTCCTGAATGATTAAAACTAAATGAAGAAAAGTTTTGACAAGATTGCCTTAAGAGACTATTTGGGGCTCACTTTTGCATTATTTGTGTTATTTAGTCAAATGTGATAAATGCCTAGAGTGTGTAGCACTGAAACAAAAGACTCTTTAAGTTGAGAATTTGATCTAAGCTTGAACATTGACCTTGCCACTTACCACATAATTTTGGTCAAGTTATTTAACAATTCTAAGAGTTATCTATGAACTAAAGATAAAAATAATGCCAAGTACATAAACTTCTTTTGAAAATTCATGTTAAAAGCCCAATATATATAAATATTTTTATTAAAATGTTCAAATTCTATAGCTGGAACCAAATTTTGAGACACAAGAGAGGAGTTTCTGAGATTAGTACCAGCTAACTATTAAAAGGAAAGCAAGTTGGGCTTAGTGGCTGGAAGGCTAAAGCAGGAGAATCTCAAATTCTAGCCTAGCTAGGCAACTTAGTGACTTAGCGAGACCCTGTCTTAAAAAGGAGCAGGGAGCGGGCTGATGATGTAACAGTTCACAGGCCTCAGTACAGCCAAAAGAAAGAAAAGATGATAGCTTGTACTTCACGTTTGTAGAAGGTCAGATAGCTCTCAAAAGATGACCAACCATTGGGCAGAGGAGGGAGCCTGAGTTCTTGCAGCTGCTAGAAGTGGGCTGATGTGGAAGGACAGTGAGGTCCTGAGTACTTGTAACTGATTCAGATGCTACTCAGAATCTATAGGTGAGTTCCTGGAACGATCTGCTCTATACTAATCAGATGCCAGGATTTCTCATTCTCGGCACTATTGACATTTTAAACTGGAGGACTCTTGGTTCTGGAGAGGGCTGTCCTTTTGCACTTCCAATGTTTAACAGCTTTCATGATCTCCAACTACAAGATGCCAATTACATCCTCCAAGTCGTGACAATCAAAAATATCTCCAGGGCCGGGGATTTAGCTCAGTGGTGCCACTCCTGTCTTACAAGCACAAGGTCCTGAGTTTGATCCCCGGTACTGGGAAAAAAAAAATGTCTCCAGTAGTAAAAAATGGAAACAATGGAAATGTCCATCACCTGAAGAATGGGTAAACAAAATGTGATATATCCATATAGTGACTATAACTCAATAAAAAGGAATAAAGTATTGATATGTGGTACAACATGGATGAACCTTGAAAACATGCGAAGTTTAAGATACCAAACAGAAAAGGCCATATATCATGTTATTCTGTGTCATGAAACAGAATCCATAGAGACAGAAATTAGTGGTTGCCAGGAATTGAAAGAGGGTGAGAATGACTGCATATCCTGGGTAGAAAGGATTAATATAGTGAAAATGGCCATACTTCCAAAACTGCTATATAGATTTAATGCAATTCCAATTGAGATCCCTG